GAAGAGGCCACAGGATGGTGCTAGTCTGCTACAAATAGAGCCCTAGATCTAGTCTGCCCTAGATTCTCTGTAAGGATGGATAGTTTGAAATCAGTACTACAGATTAAAAGATTTCTACAGAGAAAAGAATTCTGGAAGCCTGAAGTAGGAATTCAGGCTGAGTTTTAAGCACCCAGTTTCATACATTATAAAAAAAAATAGAACTTTGAACATTCAAGAATGTCACATAGGTTTATGGCTAGACTTTTAGTAAAATAACAGTATTAAAATTCCAATGAAACAGTTGTTCCATTTGTCTCAATTACCTTGACATTCTCCAGATTCCTGGCAAGTCCAAATTTTAATTGGAGGTTGTTGGTAATTATCTTAGTCCAGCGCTTCTCCCAGCTCTAGTTCCCGGCTTCTTCTTCTGTTCCCTTCTCCAGTTCAGCTTTTATTTAAAAGGCATTAACAGTACAAAACAGTACAGAAGCCTTATGCCAAAATTTTAGAAAATGTCCTTTTGCAAGCAAAGAGAGGAGTTGCTCATGTTATCTGCCATGATCCCAAGACATGCTCCATTTTGAGTGAATTTGATTGATTGATTGATTGATTGATTGATTGACTGATTGATTTTCTGGCATAAGGCTGACAGTCTGCAGTATTGTGAATGCAGACTGATATTCACAACTGTCCTTTTAAAAGGAGACTAGAGGGTCAGCGATGGGTTAAGACTACCCTATAACTTCCAGGAATGCCTGCAAGAAAGACAGATGCTGAGATTTGACTCTTAACATGTTATATACAGAACGTGCAAATAAGAAAACATACTGTATATACATATGACATAGACACTAGATTTGCCTCTTCAAAGGGACAATGGAAAACCACCACTATGTTTGTCTTCTCTTGAATATATTCAGTCTTAAATTCACACACTTGCAGCGCACAAACTTTTTTTATGTTGGGCTTCTTGTAGCCAGGTCAGTGCTCCATGGTCAGTTCTGTGTTTGAATTACTGGCTTAGTGATGTAGCTTCTCAAGGATGTGTACAGTGGCATAACTTTCATCCCCACCATCCCCACATAACTTTCATCCCCGCCAGAGAAACATCATCAAAATTCTTAGTGACCATGTCAGATGCATCTGTGAGCCCAAAAAATTAGCAGATGAGTTGAGGCATCTTAATACTGCTCTGCAAGCTAATGAGTGTTCTACCGGTGAGATCAGGCAGGCAATGCAATCCAACAGCAATAAAGACACATCCAAAGACAAACCACCTCTAACAGGAAAGCTGTTTCTCCCCTATATTGAGAAAGTGACAGACTATATTGGTAAACTATTAGAGAAACACAACCCAAAACAATTTACAAGCCAACAAAGATGATGCAAAACATCATTCAATCGCCCAGAGCCCATTCAGCCCATTTCAGTTGGCTGTGAGCTGCCAAGAGGTACACCACAAAGTAGCTCACTCTTCCTCTGAAGATGCCAGCCACAGCTGTTGACAAAATGGTGGAACAAAATACAACTAGACCACAGCCACTCAGCCCAAAAGCTCATCACTGCTTCATTATCAGGCCACCTCTTTAAAAAATTAGAAAGGGATCTTCATGCTGCAGTTGGCAGGATGAGCCCTTAATTTTAATTTTTTTAACTTAAATTTTATTTTAAAGTTTTCCTGCTACAAAAACATAAAGGTATGGAACCTGGAAAGAAAAAGGAATAAAAATAGCATTGGCTTGGAAACTATACATTATGATTTATAAATATCAATCATCAGGCCAGGATTTAGTACTAAGAAAGCCTTGGATGCAGTTGTTGATAACATGTGGCAGAGCCAGGATGGTGGTGGTGTATCCATCCTTGTGCTCCTTGATCTCTCAGTGGCTTTTGATACCATGACCACAGTATCCTTCTGAGCCAGCTCTGAGGATGGGGGCACTGTTTTATGGTGGTTCTCTTCCTTTCTCCTGGGCCACTTCCAGTTGCTGTTGGCTGTGGGAGAGAGATCACTCCTAGCCCCCTCCTGTGTGGGGTGCCACAGGGTTCTGCTCTCTTTTCCCTTCTTCTCAACATCAACATGAAACTGCTGGGTAAGTCATCCACTGGTTTGGGGTTCAGTATCATCACTATGCAGATGATACCTAATTGTAACTTTCAACCCCGGGCCAGCCACGATCAAGGTTCTGTCCCAGTGCCTGGAGGCTGTGTGAGTTTGGATAGGGAGGAACCATATCTGATTCAATTCTTCCAAGACCGAGTAGCTGTGGGTGTTTGGGCCACCCAGATCTGGGGATATTCCATCTTTGTCCTTGGATGGGGTAGCACTTCCCCTTCAAGGTTGGTACACAATCTGGGAGTCTTCCTGGACTTGCAGCTGCCCTTGAAGACTACCCAGAAGCTTCAACTTGTCCAGAATGTAGCGGCGCAAGCAGTAATGGTCATGCTTTGGTACACCCATGTAACACCTCTGCTTTGCAAGCTGCAGTGGTTGCCGGTTTGCTTCCAGGTGCAATTCAAGGTGCTGGTTGTTACCTATAAAAGCCTACATGGCATAGGGCCTGGTTATTTGAGAGGCTGCTTGTCTCCTATAACATCTGCCCAGCCAATTAGATCCTGCAGGGTTGGTGCATTCCGGGTTCCTTTGATTAAACAGTGTCATGTATTGGGACGATGGACCCTTTCTCTGTAGCAGCGCCTCCCTCTGGAATGAGGTTCACCCTGAGATCCACATGGCCTCCACTCTGCTGTTGTTTAGAAAAGCCATGAAGACCTGGCTCTTCATCCAGGCCTTTAACGAGGGAGAATGAGACCCCTTGCTTCATTGTGCTTGCCATCTTTTATCTTTATCTTTTATTGATTTTATTGTAATTTCTTTGATTGTTGTGAGCTGCCCAGAGTCATTGAGGTCAGGTGGCATGCTTGCCATCTTTTATCTTTATCTTTTATTGATTTTATTGTAATTTCTTTGATTGTTGTGAGCTGCCCAGAGTCATTGAGGTCAGGTGGCATACAAGTTTAATTAATAATAATAATTATTATTATTAATAATCATACTTCTGTTAATGCAGCCTAGAATTGAATGTTTTCATTGTTACTGTTTTATATTTCTTTAAAGTTGCATGATACTGTTGTAATTAATAATAATAATTATTATTATTAATAATCATACTTCTGTTAATGCAGCCTAGAATTGAATGTTTTCATTGTTACTGTTTTATATTTCTTTAAAGTTGCATGATACTGTTGACTCCTGTTCAACTTGTACTTCACCAAGATTCCCAGATGCTTTTTAACATACTGCTACTCAATGTGGTTCCCTAACATTCTGTAGTCATGTCTTTAATTTCCCTACCCAAATATGTTGAAAGTCATCTTGATGGTTCCTGCCTCTAAATATCCTGAATCTTGATAGTGTCCTCTAAATTGAGCCTTAAGGGTAATGACCTATAAAGTCCTACATGGCATGGGACCAGGTTACTCTCCCCAATTACATCTACCCATCCCATCAGATCTGGCAGGAAATGCATGCTTTAGGTCCTGTCAGCTAAAGAGTGTCATCTGACGGGGCCTAGTAGGAGAGCCTTTTCTGCCATGATGCCCACTCTGTGACACATCATCCCCCTGGAGGTCAGATTGGCCCCCATCCTGCTGGCCTGTTGAAAGACCCTGAAAACTTGGTTTTGCCAATGGGCATAGGGACCATGGAATGTGGTAGAGCCAGCAGAGTGGTTGTATTGAATGTTATTGTTAGATGTGGTTACCTTGGCTATGAAGTTTATGAATTTTTATGATGTTTTTATATGCTTTTATATTTTTTTTGTTTCTTTAAATTGTATTCTTTTTTGTTTTTATATTTGTTTTAATTGTTTGTAAGCCACCCAGAGTCATATATATGAGATGGGTGGCTAAAAAAATGTGAATAATAAATTAATAAATAAATAAAATGCTTGCTATTCTCTCAACCCTGTACCATCTGCATATATGGTAACCATATTTTATAACCCCTCATACATGCCATCTATAAATAGGTTGAATAGCACAGGTCCTAGAACAGAGACCTGAGGATGCCTCGATACTTCCCTATAGCTTGACATGAAGCTGCTAACATACACTTACTGAGTTAATTACTTTCAGAGGATAGAGTTTAAATTAGGGGGAAATTAAATCAATTCTGTCTGTTAAGTCCTTTCAACACAAGGTTTGAACATAGAAAATGTTAATCATATAACCTAAGAATTGTTTTTAGGAACCATCCATAAAGTAAACTACTTGTTTTACACAGTTGTCTTTCTGACAGATATTTCAAGCCACATTTTTTTCCTGTTTTATAAAATTAGAACTTAAGAGATTAATTCGGTAAACTCTCCATTTTTCTTTCTGAATAGGATTCAGAATAGGATTCCTTACCCAAGAATCATCTGCAAAGGCTGCAGTTTTCATAGGCAGGGCTCAACAAGCAAGTTTGTGCCAACCCCTTAATCTTTGGTATGATTCAAGAGGGCCACCAAATACATTTAAACCATGCTGAGCTAAATAGATGGAATTCAACACTTTTCACTCAAAGGTTTCTCCCATATTATCCCATTTATACAAATTTCATAGTATACAATTATACTATGAAAACTAGGTTGCTACTTAGTTGGTCCACCAAGGATAGTTAAACGGAAGGTGGATTTAACCACCAGACAATTCCTAATTTCTTGGCAAGACTCAGGACATCAGGGATGGAGCATTGTCCTTGATTATACAAAGCAGCAGTCTCTCCAAGGAAGTTGGCTTATATTTGTCCCTCAGTTCTATAAAAGTGAGAATAAATGTTCAAAAATAAAAAGAATGAAGATCCATCTATCATCTGCCTCTCTCTCTCTCTCTCTCCAAGCAGGAGGCTAACCATCCTCTCTGAAGTGAACTGAACATGTGAAATCCAATATCTTTTTCAAGGATATACAGTAATTAACAATTTAGCTGACTGTATTTCTTTTATTTATAAATGTTATGTGGTTATTATTTTCCCTTGTGCGTTCTATTCATTTCCCTTCCCCCATACACTTTTTTTTAACATCTCGAGATTTGGCTGTAGATGTTTAATAAGGTAGTTACTCATAAACCTTCCACATATGTAAGATTGCACAGTTACATAGCTGCCCTTAATATTTCAAGATTAACAACGTTTGTTAAATTTTGTGTTCTGCACTTTGGGAAGGAAGATCCAAAAGCAACTTTCTTTCTAGTTTTCCTAGATTTATACTGAAGGGAGTAGAATGGCTAAGAATTTTCCAGACAAGCCCCCAACCATAACTATGTTTCTGAAATAGTTTTTTAATGGTTTGATTAGTTTTATTATTGCAGAAGTACTATACAAATTGGATATAAAAATGGAGATGCAAGAAGACATAGTGTAATAAAAAAAAATCATTGTAAAAATAGCATTCCAGTGCACTCTACCCCTTCTTTTTTTCCCCAACTACTAACTACTACTTAGATGTCTATATTTTGCTTTAAAATTTTACAGTTGTTGTTTATATCTATTTGAGTCTTTTTTTTTTAGTTGTTTTGCTTAAGGACCAACAAATATGAATTGGGGAGTTTTTATGGAATGCAAATCATTAGACCATATGTAACTACTGTCCAAATATTTCAACATACAGTATTACTGAAAAGTCTCAAGAGTTAATCATTGTTGAAATTACTTGCGAGTTGCTTTTGAAGAATGAGCAACCTGAAAGCTGGGATATAATTCTAGTAAAGAATAATAAAGTGCTGAAGGATAAAAGGACTTCTATTGATATGAAATTTAAAAAGTAGAACAGACAAACCAAATGCTAGAACCTGGATTTAACACAGGAAAAGGTGGAGCTTGTACAAGAGAACAAATGCACCAAAATTTGTTTCAGAGGAGATTTCCTGACAACTGGGCAGTTCGCTATTATTCTTCTATGGTACTTTCTGGGAATGGATTGTTTATATCCAGTTCTGGCACCTTCAGCAAATACATGTTTTTATGAAAAGCTCCCATCTCTTGAGCTGTCATTTTTACATTCCATACAGGGAAATCTGGAACTGTCTTTAACCAAAAATCTTCCATGGGGTTTCTTCCAGTGAACCACCACTCCTAGGAAACAAGAAAAGTTGGACAACTGATCAGAAGATGATTAGAGGGGAGCAGGTGGCTGATTACTGATCACTGATTAGTTTACCTTCAAATATGTTATGTAGTGCACATTATTCTAGGATATCCAGTTTGCTGTACATACTGTAGTTGAACATATAATCTGATTGCCAGTCAGTTGTTTTAAACTTTGCTAATTTCCTTTTTTTTTTTTTATGAATCTATCGATTTGTCTATTCACAAATATACACACAACAATCATAACTGTAACATAAAAAAATAGGACTGGATCCTTAAATTTATCATTCTGAAAACTGGAAATAATAAGTTTATACAAGAATGTCCATTATCTGAGTTCTATTGGCCTCTGATTTGCAATCAGTTTTAAAGCAATACCTTGCTAATCTCTAGCCAGGATCTCTCCAAACGATTCCCATATATATCACTACTTTGGAATGCCTTCTCAAGAAAGCTTTGGCTGAGTTCATCATTGCCAAGCATCAGCTGGACATAGGCCTTCAGATGGTAAACCCTGGAGTAGTACACTGGGCTTGTGGAACACTGAGTCATTATCTGATCCAAATTCTATTAAAAACAATGAATAGTCATGTCAAGCAGGACCAGGTGTATAACCAGAGGCAAGAAGACAACTTCTGAAGAAAAAGTCTTGAAGAGAAACAAAATAAATAGAAAATGTTGCTCTTTTCTTCTCTACCTTTGTCTGTAGAAATGTTGGTTTCTGAGGTTACAACAGGCCTAGCGTTCTTTTAAAAGAATTAAACCCATGTAAATCAAGAATTACTCAAGCACATGTTTCTGCAGAAGCTAGGTGTCCAGTCCCTCCTGCAGCCCAAGCCAAAATGGCCACAGAGGGCAGCACCCAGCAAGAGTTGAGGCAATTATGCCTGCTGCAGTCTGAAGCAGACAATGAAGTCAGCCAAGCACAGGTAAGAGCCTATACTAGGACTTATCTTGTGACAATAAGGGCAGCGAAGCATACTTATTTCTCCGCTCTTATTGCACTGCAGATAGCTGCCCAGTGTCCCTGTTTTGGGTGACCAGGTCCCTCCTGGGTAAGGAGGAGCTGGGGTTGCTCCTGCAGAGCCACTGTGAGGAATATTCTCAGCATCTGTCAGATAAAGTGACTTGACTTCACTTGGAGTTGGAGTCTGGCTGGACAGATCCTTTGAAAGTGACTGAGACATGTCTGAGCTCTGTTATTTTGGAGGAGTTTGAGGTGGTTGATCCTGAGGAAGTGGACAGGGTCCTTGTGGGTGTGAGCTTGGCCGCCTGTGTTCTGGACCCATGCCCCTCCTGTTGGTTAAGGCCTGTGGCATGTGGCTGGGTCCAAGTGGTGGTTAATGCTTCTTTGGGGGAGGGGGTGGTACCACCTGTTGAAGGAGGCAGTAGTGTGCCCCCTTCTCAAAAGGCCATCCTTGGACCCAGCCATGCTAGACAACTTTTGTCCAGTCTCCAACCTTGCCTTTTTGGGGAAGGTTGTTGAGAGGGTGGTTGGCAATCAGCTTCAGAGGCCCCTTTTCAGTTTGGGTTCAGGCTAGGGTACAGCACTGAGACAGCATTGATCATGCTTGCCGATTAACTTTGGAGGGCTTGGGATGGGGGTGGTGCAACTGTCTTGGGTCTCCTGGCTGTCAATACCAGCGGCTTTCAATACCATCAACCATGGTATCCTTCTGGACCAGCTTTGGGGTTGGGAGTGGGAGGCACTGTTTCATGGTGATTCTCTGCGGCCAGTTTTAGTCAGTGTTGGTGCGGGGGTGGAGAGGTCAAGCCCTAGGTCCCTGCAGTGTGGGATGGTTCAGGGATTGAGTCTCTCTCTTCTCCTCTTTAACATCTACATGAAACCACTGTGTGAGGTCACTTAATGGCATGGGGTGCGATATCATTAGTACACTGATGATACTCAGCTATACATCTCCACTCCTGGCCAGGCAGGTGATGCTGTTGCAGTGCTGACCAAGTGCCTGGAGGCTTTGAGGGTTTGAATGGGAAGGAACCAACTTTGACTCAACTCTGGTAAGATGGAGTGGTTTGGGGTTTTTGGCCCCCCAGGGTCTGGTGATTTGTCATCTTTGATTCTGGACAGGGTTGCACTTCCCCAGACTGAGCTGGTGCATAATTTGCGGGTTCTCCTGGACTCATGGTTCCTGCTCAGCTAGGGAGACCTTTGCAGATTCCTCTTGTGCACCAATTGTGCCCTTTCTTAGACTGGGAGGCCTTACTCACGGTCACTCACAACTTAGTCACTTCCTGTTTGGATTACAGGTAGGTCTCATTTAGCAACTGCCTCGTTTAGCGACCATTCACAGTTATTATGGTGATGAAAAAGTAACTTTAGGACCAATCCTTGCATTTACAACCTTCACAGGTCTGTAAAGCAAAGGAAAGCTGAAATAAAATCATAAGCATAGTCATGGTTTCACTTAGCAACCACTTCACTTAATGACTGAGTTGTCGGTCCCAACTGTGGTTGTTATACAAGGATTACCTGTACTGGAATGCGTTTTACATGGGCCTCCCCTTGAAGACCACTCTAAGCTATAACTGTATCGGGTGTTTCTAGGTTCGCCCACTTTACACCTTTGTTGCGCAAGCTGCACTGACTCCCAGTTTCCTTCCAGGTGCAATTCAAGGTGCTGGTTATCAGCTTTAAAGTCCTACATGGCACAGGATCAGGTTATTTGTGGGACAGCATCTCCTTGAGAGCATCTGCCTGTCCTACCAGATTAGATAGGGTAGGCACGCTCCAGATCCCTTCCCTGAAATCTTGCCATCTAGTGGGACCTTGGAAGCATGCCTTTCCCATGGCTGCCCCTACCTTCTTAGTGTTTCAGAGAACCATCAAGGCCTGGCTTTTTACCCTGGCACTGGGGTGGAGTGAGGATGTCTGGAGTTAGTTGTGGGACATCCCAAGGGGATGATTAAGGCACCAGGTCTTGTTCTGGTTTTCTGGTTTTCTGATTTATGATTGTTATAGTTCTGGGTTTTATTATTGTTGTGAGCTGCCCAGAATTGTTTTTTTAGATAGGCGGACATACAAATCTTTTAAATAAATAAATAGGAATTGGGCAGATCTTGGTCCTTGACAGAATAATCAACCATATTGTCAAGTGTCCTAGATCATGTCCACAGAAAAAAATGTGTTGAGAAAAAGGCAAAACACTGTTTTAAAAAGTGGAACATCTAGATATGACTTTAAGCTGCCTCTACTTTGGGCTGGGGATGAGATAAAGATAATGTAATGAGGATGTTATTTAAAAATGATTTGCAGGGCATCTTCGTGCCATGGTTAAAGGGATGTGAGGATGAACCCTGAGTTATTCTGTGGCCTTGGAGTGAAAATGCAATGTCTGTGGCTCTCCAGAGATCTGTAGTTCATAGATATGTGAACTACATTACCCAGCATTCTTCACCGTTGGCCATTGTGACTGAGGCTGCTGGGGGCTGGAATTCAGAACATCTGGAAGACCATGCATTGGAAGTCTCATTTAACTTGCACAACACCTTAAACTATTGTTTGGTTGATCATAATTTACTGAATAAATCACAGCAACAATACTGTAGATAATGATGGCTGAGAATTATGAAGTTATACTTCAGATGTAGAAAAATTCTGGACAGCTAAGTCAGAAAGAAATGAAAGACAGAAGGTACAGACAGCAAAGAGAAGTTTATTATCAGTAGCCATTCAGAAAACAAGTCAAGATCCTTGTACCCAGTTCACTTTAGTCTATTGAGTTACCTTTAAGTTAGAAAGTGTTTATTCCTGCAGATATTCAATAGGAAGAGCTTTCCCAATCTTTTGATTGAGATATCCCTGAGGAATATTCTACATATTATCATAATTTGGATTCTAGCACTATAAAAATAGAAGAACTAACTAAATAAGTCAGCAGGATGACAGTCCATCCCAAACCCTTCCGTATACAGAACCACTGTAGCTTTAAAGGTTAAAAAAGTTTTTACAGCTTACATGGTAAGGATTATAAAATGTGTACCTTAAAGTCCAATTTTCTGGGTTTTAGAAGCAGCATTGGAAAGTGGAAACAAGCCGAAGTTGTTGTTATTAAAATAATAATGCTTATTATTTAATAGCTGTTAAAGTAAAACAAAAAGAAGGTTCTGGGCAAAATCTTAGTCAGCAGTCCCGTGCCCATTCACTGTTGATTAGAAACTGATTATGAAAACATCCAGAGGGCTGATTTGACAGTCCACTGTTTGTGCTTGCAAGAAATTGTTAAATAAGTAAATACATTTCTGTATACTTATCTCTGAGTCCCTCACCTTTGTTATCCTGTTACGCATCTCACGGACTTTGTCAGGCCTCTCTTCAATATATTTTCTTAACAACAGAGACTCACACTCCACCAACTTGCAGAATCCATGGTTAGCACAGAGAGAAGCAGATGTTCTCCTCACTAACCGCCTTGCTTTTTCAAATGGTACTATGAATTTATCCCAGTGTTGAAGTCTCGCAAACCTAAATGATAAACTCACATGTTAGATGGGAGGAGACTCAGCCCTTCTCTAGCTAGATATATAGAAACTGAGTTCTCAGCATGAAAAAACATTAAGGCCAAAAGTGTATAGTATTTTTTTATTGTACACTCTTTCATATTTTAAGGCAGTTTAGAAATATACTTATTTCTCAAAAACAAGGTAATGTTGGAAAAAGAGAAATGGACGTTGGAAGTTGATAGGAATGTGATTTATAAGATTGAGAGTTAGAACTACACTATACATTGGTAACACTAGTCCCTGGAAATCCATTACAGTTCTTTTTTTTTTTTTTTTTTTTTTGGCCATTCAGTATAAAAAGTTCCAGCTGGCTCAGTCATGCATTTACAGTATTTAAATTCAATTACATAAGTTACTATCAGATGACAAGAACTTATTAGCTCTATGTCCCACTGTGGCTAGGAGGTTGGAAGTGCATATTTGATTCCTCGGCACTTCATGACTTATAGACCACAAAATGGCAAGTAGGGTGTAGGCAGAGAGTTAACCATTTCCTCTCTACGTCTGCCCTTATGACTCTTTGATAGAAAACTCAGTTTCTGTTATAGTGGTAAAATCTGTTTCACTAATCATTGCTCAGGTCAGAGGCAGACTCAGATACACATATCCATAGATACTACATACTACAGCATCCAACAGCAAGACTGAGTTCCAGCAAGACATGGATCAACTTACATATCTTACAGCAAAAAAAGGGAAGACTATCATGCCATATAATAGCACTACAGAAAATTAAAGTTACCAAATTGCCAGAGAAGAATACAGGCCCAACATGATGTTGTTTTGAGACATAAGGATGCAGTTTGTTTCATTAGCGAGAATAAAATCCTGGCAGTACTGAAATGGCTTAAAAGAAAATCCTGCAAAAAATTAAAGTATCATTAAGCAGGCATCTCTGGCTATGATTACAGTCAAAGTTTGAGATCTCCAAATGTTCAACAGCACATAGTGGATAATATACGTCAACATTGTTAACAGTTGTCTCATTCAAAAAAAGACTCAATGCAACTCACTGATTGCTGTCCATGGAATCTAACAATACTGTATGCATAGGAAATATCAGCAGTTCCACAATGCCCATTTGGCAGTATGCTTAATGTCTCTGAGCACATAGAGGAAGAAGTATATTTAGGATCAGGTTCCTGATAATAGGCCAGAAAAGTTTTAACAATAATTAAATATATAAAGCTGCACCATTGGAGCCTAAGCCTGGCTAAAAAATTATCTTGCTTCATTCCTTATTTTATAGCCCTTTTGCTAACCTGAGCATCCTTAACCTTGATCAGGTTAAAGCTGTCCCTAATAAAACTATTCCTTGGTATGCCCCTAGTAAAACAACAAAAGGAGGCCATGCACTAGAAGTCAGAGAGGAAAAAGAGGAAGGGCTAAAAATCCTAAGTTCCACTGAAGAAAATCCTTATTAATGAGGCCTGACAAGGTTTTCAAGATTTGCCCTTGAAAAATGTTTCTGTCAAAAATATGTTGCGTCTGATTAATAAACCTTTTCTTCTCTGGCACTTAGGCCTTTTTGCCCTCCTTCCTGCTCCTGGCTCAAGCCATGCCCAGCAAGGAAATACTGTGAGAGACCCTAACTTGCCATGCATCAAAAGATAGAGGTTCTCCTGGGATGACTGACTGGTATCTCATGCTGGTGTCCTTTTATTTTCAAAATATTCCTGATGGTAATCAATACAGGCAATTATCTTGGCTAATTTGTTAATCTCAAAGTGAACTCTTTTTTGGCCTTTCAATATTTACATGAAGTCCTTGATATTGAAATAATATGTAACTTTACTAATAAACCTTTCTGTGGTATCTCACCTGAAATTATATTTCTCAAACTTATTTATTTATATATAAATTTATAAATAAATAAACTAAGAAGTAAAGCTTTCTTCAAGTCAATCTCAACTCCTGGTGACTATACGGACATGACTAGGACTTGGTCACATTACTGGCTGTAAGGTAGAACTGGCTTATGTTATGTTAGCAAGTGGTTGTCAAGGATAATAAATTACCATTTGGATCCAGAAAAGGCAGTTCATTTCTATAACAGATTGTTTTCTCTGATTATACGTTAATGTTAATATTGATAGTGACTTACCTTCTAAGGCATGTATGTAGTGTAACCAAACAAGTGGGTTATTTAATAACATAAATTACATTTAATTTAAACTTAATGATGGTATAAGAGGGTTTGTAGACTTTGAATGTTTCAGAACTCTGTAGTAAGAAAGTGCAGAGATTAGAGCAGATTTATAGAGCTCAAACACAGCCTCCAAACAGTGATTGTTGGGATCCCATGAAGTAGCCCACTTCATGGAATCTCCTCAGTTCTGATTCCTGGAGCAATGTGCTTTGAGACACAGGCTCAATCTGCATTTTTCCTTTGAGTAAGTCCACTGAAATCAGTAGTGTTTAATACTCATTCTGTAAGATATGATTTAACGTAATTGGTCTTTCCACAGATAATTTCTTTTTAAACAATGCCCTTTTATTACAACTGATCATGTCCCATTCCTCCAATTCATTGTACAACTTGATGATACTCTTTTATCATTTTTATTTTATTGTTTGCCTTTTAATTATTGTACAGGCACACTGCCCTGAGAACATTTTGTTGAAAGGTGGATATAATTGTTTTTAATTTGTTTTCCCTACTTCAAACATGCATTTTAGATGTTGTATAAAGGACTCTGTACTTACCAGCGTAAAGTATAACGTTCAGACAGGCCGAAATGAAGAGGGACTGCCCAATGACATTGTCATCTCGAATGGCGAGTTCTTCTAGCCAACTTAACACTTGCACAGAATCCTGATATCTAAGAAGCAGGGGGAAACATCTCTAGTTAGTTGCAAGAAGTTGGTTCCTAAAAGGGCTCTCTTGGTTTGTTGTGAAAACCTGATGATTGCGTGTGTGCCTGAGGACGACAGCAGTGTAAGTATTATATAGAAACATGGATCTTCTAACCATTTATTGTTAACTGTTGTTGCCAAAGTGGTTTGTGCTGAGAATCAAAACAAAACACATGAGATGGATGGCTATATAAATCTGCCAAATAAATAAATAAAATATATTGGCCACATTGTTCATTCACATACCGAGCTTATTTTTCTTTCTCTCCCTATGTATGTAATGTGTGTATGTAAAAACATTCTCTAATGTATGTAAGACTTAGGTAGTTTACATTATACACGTTTATAGGGGTGTTTAAATATTTTATGTATGTTATCCACCATTTACAGCAACATAAGAAATCTATTTCATCTTGAGGACTGACTTGGTTTGGACAAGTATGTTGGTGTTACATACCAGGAGGGGATGGAGTTAAAGCCCAAAGTGGGCAAAGCGCATCCATGTAGTGTGTGCTTTGTTTGTGCATGCGTGGAATCACACTAAAAACACACACGTCACTCTTCCAGCAGTGACTAACCTCTCAAAAACACTCCCTTTCACTATAGTGAAGCTTTAAAACAGCTTCCACTGATGTCAGTCAAAACTATTTTAAAGTTTCACTGCAGAGTGGGGAAAATATTTGAAGAAAGGTTGCAATAGAGGCTCTCTCATAACCCACAGACAAACTTTTCCACTTGGCAGTTAATCTACTTTGACATCAGTTTAGATTTAAACCCTTGCTTTTCCTTATCTCGTGACAACCATTATTCTTTTTCTAGTTTTTGAAGCTAGGGAAAAGGAAGGAGAAGGAAAAGAGGAGTTGTGGTGATGGTGGCTGGAAGAGGGGTGGAACTGAGGAACAGGGACTGAAGAAGCAGAAAGCTGGAACCGATGTGCTGTACATGGTGACATCATCATAATTAAGAAAGCAGAATTAAAAAGCGTGTTTGCCAGTCCACTGGGCACTCTGCTGAACTTGCAGAGGACTGTCATTCAGATTTCTGTTCAGC